AGCAGGAATGACATGCAGATAGCTGACTCAGTGCTGGAAAGTCTGAGTGTGTTTTATGAAATCAAGAAAGTGACATGGAAGTTCACTGTTTTTCTTCTCTTGCATGAAGAAAGCAGTGACTGTATGTGTGTTTGTCTGGGGAGCACAAAGAAAGCATGGGGTTTTGTGAACAGCTCTAGCTCCTTTCAGTAGAGATTCATTAATGCTCACAATAAAGGTGTAGTTTGAACATTGTTATTCTCCCATCTTGTTGCCTGGAATGCAAAAAAAAACCCCAAAACCAAAAATCACCAAAAAACCCCACAAAAAAAAACCTCGCAAAAACCCCTCACACACACTATATAAAGACTATAGTGTGTGTCTATGTGTGCAGAATATTTGATACATATAGGGTAGGAGAAAAAAAGCATTTGCTGAAATTTGCCAGTGCAATCCTCAATGCTCTGTATTTATTCCATGTCATGCACCAAGCACAGATTCCTTGGAGAGCACTTTCCCTTTGACAAAATCGTGTGACAGATTTTAAATAAAATGTAGGTCTGTGACATTTTCCTACACACGCTAATATGGGACAAATCTACGTATAATATATAATTGCTGTTTCATTTGATAAATGGTTGCTGAAATCTGTATGCAGATAATGCAGACTGTCTTTTTCAAGCTGGATCTGTAGAGGAGCTTGTGCCAGGCACTTCAGAGCAGTATTATTTGGCTTTGCTGTGAAAAGAATTGGCTGCTCGTCCTCCCAATGCTTTGCAAGTCATGATAGGGTGGGAGGCAGGGAAGTAGGAGTACAAGGACTCAAAAAGAGTAAATAATATTATGCAAAGTAGTTTAGGATCAAAGCTTTGTTTCTTGTCTGACCATTGAAAAGCTTCCATAATCCATGAGTCACAGGGCCTGCTTTCAAAAATTACTGCAAGTCTTTAGTCGAATTTTACATTTCATGGACTGTAGGTGCATATTTTGAGAGACAGTTGGTATTGTCAGCTTGATTACAAACTCCTAAGAATAAGGATGTTTTCCAAAGCAGCTGAATGTATGTTAAGAATGTACCAAATTATTGGATTGAAATGGCATGGGATAGTAGAAGCACAGTCTGGTGTTATAGGTGGAATTATAAATGTTTGTAGTCTTTGCTAAATAGCTAAATTTAATTGCTAAACAAGCTATTAAATATTTATTTATAAAAACATATGGTGTGCTATAATGAATTTCACAAAGAATTGTATCTTAAAGGAGGTCGATCAAATTCCATTATGTGGTGGTTTTGTCAGGCTCTGTGAAAGACAACTGTTGGATAACTAGAGCTTTATTTTGAAGTAAATAAATTTGCACACAGTAAGTGAATCATCTATTTTGAAAACAGTTAGGACCTGAATCTTTATTCATTAACTTTATTAGTTAGGTTTAGATTATTCATCAGTAATCAAGAGATAAAGATTGTTAATGTAGAAAGTATTTGGAGGGGTGAGAAGGGAAGAAATTTTACAGTATTTTTTGTCTAAAAAGCCAGACCTCTTTTGCATGAAGTATTGAATTTCATTAAGACACTAATAAGTAATTTGATATATTTAAATTTCTGTGTAAACCAGAAAAAATGCCCACAGAAAAAAGTAAAATCATTTACTTGAATTGAGGATTTCTGCAGCAAATTAATTTATAAAGAGATGGCGGCATGTAGTTTTAAACTAAAGATGGAAATCACTGTGCTATTCCTGCAGTTGTCAATTACCTTTTAAAAAACATTTGTATTGAATTAAAAAAAAAAGCTTTGTGAATATAACTGTAATTCTCAGATATAGTACACTGCTTCTTGGCTGTTAAAAGAATGGACAAGAAACATACGAACTCAGACAAAACAAATGTTACTTACTAGAAGGATTTACAAAGCAAGCATTTATTATAACCTCAAGAGAAAAATCATACTTTATCAGTGGTCTGTATTTAAATGTCCAGCTAGCTGTTTTCGTTGTGTATTTCTCCTTAATGGTTTCAAGGATTCTGTGCTAAATAGTATGCAGTAGAAATAGCTATCCTGACAAAACTTTTTTTACATCAAGGCTTCAAAATTTCAACAAAGTTTAAACATTATTTAGATATAACAATTATTTTACAAAGACTACTTTTAACATGAGCAGGCCACCCACAGTGTTGACTACGGAAAATGGCATGCAAGCCACCCAGCGAGACTGATGTAATTTTTTTCATCTTTGCTTAAAGTATAGTCACTAGACCAGATAATGTAGAAACTTCTACACACAATGATCAAAAAGGCTAAAACAGTTCCACTTTTTTTTTTTGGTTAATTAAAAATAAGTCACAAGCTGAAAAATGCAAATACTCACATGCAATGTAAATCTTCCTTACTATAAAGGAAATTCTGTTATTCTGTGTTAGGAAATTATCCTTATTACAAAACAGAATGCTTTTTAGTCTGGATAGAAAAGGTTTTAAGGCTGAATTTGATGTATTGATTGAAGGATATTCAGAGATAGTATAGAAACTTAATTGCATGAAATTGTTGACCAGGGTTGTTCCTGCATGTGATGAAGCAGGTAAGACTTCTAATGCAATGTGAAGACAATTTGTATTCATTCTCTTACAGTGACCAGCTAGTTAGACTTTTTCCAGTCATGCCATTGTCTTTGACTTAATCATTGGTACTTCTAACTGACTCACTTAAATATCATATATTGTTAATAATTTTTAAGACTTAATTTGAAAAAACAAAAAAATTGTGTGCAAAACCCAGTGATAACTCTTAAAGCTATGATGTTAATTAACATAATGAAATTATACTTTTCTAAACAGAAAACTTTCTATGACTTTTTCCATATCCTGAGATGCATAATTTAGTTGTAAAATGTAGATCTGGAGCCAAAGCAAACTATAAAATATCTGCAGCAAAGTTAAGCATTTGAAAT